CCCCCACCCCCCCCCCCCCCCCCCCCCCCGCCCCCCCCCCCCCCCCCACACACACACACACACACACACACACACACACACACACACAGCGCACCACACACTCGCACCCGCCTCCCCTCCGCAGAGCTGGGACTAAAGGCGTGAGCCACCGCATCTGGCCTCGTTATTTTTAAACTTTATTTTCATTTTTAAATGCTTTTGTTTTTGGAGACGGGGTTTCTCCGGCTGCCCTGGCACTCGCTCTGTAGACCAGGCCGGGCTCCAGCTCGGAGATCCTCCAGCCTCTGCCTCCCAGAGCTGGATTGAAGGCGTGGCCACCACGCCCGGCATTTTTGTTTCCCGATCCCGGAGCATCTGTTTTCAAGAGAAGGAAAAGTTGAACCACGTGGGGTTCCTCAGCACGAAACAGAAGGACCATAGTTTCCTCGCCTCTCATGAAGGAGCTGAAGCCCCGACGTTAATATGCCCGCTCGCAACACCTAACCCCCAGGGCCGACCCTACAAACGCAAATAGAACCCACTCGACGTGGCGGCGCCGGCGGGCATAACAACCAGAAAATAAAATCCCAACCTCCGCCCTTCCACCTCATTCCCGTCGAGGGAGCCTCTCGCGGCCTCTCGCTCTGAGAATCCCGCCTCTGCTGTGGGGGCGGGAATGCAGACGGTGCTTCATAGTGAATGGTTGAAGTTGCTGTCAATCTAAGATTCCCGTCTTCCATTGGCTATCTGCGTTGGGCCTTATCTTTCAATCTCATGGTCCTTTCCGCTTGCGTCACGGACGCTTTGCTCAGTGCCTGTATTCCACCGCGTAGGAAGATAGTCCCTGAGGCTTTACCGTGGGCTGATAGATAATATCTCGGCCGGAAGCATTTTAGCGTTAGCTACTGGTTGACCCTTGGTGTCATGGTAATCCTTGTGGGTGTTTGGCAGTGCACTGTTGTGAGGTGGTGTACCTTAGTGTTGCCTCAAGAGGTGGTGGAGGGATCTGTGGAGTGCATCCGGTCGGGGTGCGGCTGCGGCAATTTAGGGGAGGCGGCTTTC